ACCGAATCGAATGTTTTGAAAAAAAAAAAAACCCGACTTTTTTTTTTTGAACCAAAAAAAAAAAAAAACGATAACATCATTACGAAATGGTGGATTTGAACAAAAACAAAAACAAAACGAAGAAGAAACGAAGAAAAAAAAAGGAACCAAAAATAATTATTGGAATCCAGTTCAAAATGTTCAAATATATCGGCCATAGTGAGTTACTCATTCACTCACTCACTTACACACACACAAAAAACATTCATTCACATGAATGAATCGACAGAAACGATATATATAATATAAATCGAACTAATAGAATCCATAATTTTTTCAAAAGAATTTCAAATTCTTTTTCTATTTTTTTCTTTTTCACTGCTTTTGCCTTTTGTCTAGAATCATTCATGTGAGAAAAAAAATAAAAATAAAATAAAGCAAAGGCAATTTCTCTTTCTCTTTCTTTCTCTAAAAATTCTGTCGCCGTATTTTGACGTACAAAAATTCGCTGTGTTTGTTTGTCCAGCTGAACAAAACTGGTATATCGGTCGGTCGGTCGGTCAGTTTATTCGTTCGTTCGTTTTTTGATTGAATTTATTATGCATTTAGAACGTTGTTGTTGTTGTTGTTGTCGGGTATTTGAAATCAAAACCAAAATACCAAAATACCAAAAAAAAAAAAAAAAAAAAAAAAAAAAAAAAAAAAAAAAACGAACCAAAACACACACACAAACATTGGCCAATTGACGATGGACTTATTATAATGATAATTTTTTTTCTGTTATCAAAATTTCATTTGGCATTCATTCGAATATTTTTTGATAATCTCCTTCACTCACTCATTCTGAAATTCAATTCGAATGATTCGATTCCACATGGGCGAAAAAAAAACGAAAAATCTTTTGCTTCGAATAATCGAATAAAATTCATTAAACACACATAAATGAAGAACATGATGAACGTTTGAATCGAAACATCCAAAAATAGAATTATAATCATTATGGTGATGATGATCGTGATTGATTCTCCAATAATAATCTCCAAATGAACGGAATGGAGGGTTAAATTTTCCAATTAAATATACCAAAAAGTAGAACAAGATTGTTACAACAACAATCATCATAACAATCATCATTTACTTACTTGGAACATTCGGGGTTATTATTATTTTGCATAACCAAAACATTCCATCCATCCATCCATCTAATCGATTCAATTTATACAGGGTGTGTGTATTCCAGTGTAAAATCATTTTTTTTTTCATCATCCAAAACGATTACCATCATTTGGATGATAAATAACTATTAGAGAAGGCAGGCAGGCAAATAGAAAGAAAATCGAGCAAAAAGAGATCCATCCGGAAATTCCATCTAAATTAACATTATCCTTTCTATTTTTTTCTCTATTTTAACGGTATGTGACCATGTAAATAATAATAGCCAAAAAAAAAGTATTTAACAAACAAACAAACAAACAAACAGAGATAGAGAATGAATGAATGAATGAAAAATTCAGTTTTGCTTTAGTTTTTTACAAATAGAAGCCTATGCAATGCAAATGCAATGATGTTGGCGCCCGAATAAAAAAAAACATTTCTTCCCCCTTTGCAAGGGAAATGTATAGAAGGGGGAGAAGAAGACCAACCAACCAGTGAATCAGTAAAAGTGAAACTTGAAATCTGATATTTGTGATTCACACATTCAAAATACACACACATACAGACAGATATTCATAGTCATCGAGCCAGAAAAAAAGAGCCCAATTTTTTTTTCTTTTTGGCTGGCTCCAGAATTTTTGTGAAATAAAAATAAAATTCCAAATTCTTTTGTTGTCAGTCTTTGATGTTGTTTGGCTGGTTGATGTTGTTTTGAAAAGCTTTGAATTCTCTATATTCTTTTCTATAGGTTCTCTTTTGTTTTGTTTGTTGTTGTTTGTTGGCAATGTGACATTGTTTTTCTGGTTTTCTGTTTGTTTGACTGGATTCATCATTCAGTCAAATCCAATACGCCAATCACACACAGCCAAATCATTGGATCAAGGTGATTGATTTGGATTTGGCAAACAGCAGCAGCAAAATGTTTCGATTGATTTTGCTTCTGATATCGATCGTTTCAGCCGTCAAATAACAAGTGACAACTACATTATGGTCGAAACAAACAACCAAAAAAACAAAAAACGAAAAAAATTGGTGGCACATCAATCATTTTTTGTTTAGTTCATTTTGTTCTATGAGTAGAGAGTGGGTAGAGAGAATATCGATTTTCATATCACACATATTTTTAACGATAACTTTTTTCGTTGGCCCAAAATGGAATGATGATGATGACATTATATCATGTTGAAACTTTTTTCTTTTGCCTTTTTTCGAAAAACCAATCAATAAATAAATGAGAATGAGATGTTTTCATCATCATCAACATCATTATTATTCGATAAACTTTTATCTCAATAAAATTAACCTTTTTTTTCTCTCGCTGTTGTTTGGTTGGTTGGTTGTTCGATGTTATCTCATTTGATATTTGAGGGAATTGAAAACTTTTTTTTGATGGAAATTTTAGCCCAATTAGGCTGTTGTTGTTGTTGGAATTTTTTCATTTTTGCTGATTTCATCAACGAAAAAATGTATGATTTTGTCGTCAGAAAATAAAAATTAATGAATAGCAATTTGGTAAAACCCTTTTTTTCTCCGTTGAAAAACAACTGAGTAATGGCTGACTAATAAATATGAAAAAGAAAAAAGTTATTTTAGTTACATAACATTCTATTGTATCATCATCAATACATACAATACCCTCGTGGTTGGTTTGGTTGGTTTTTTTCGTTCAATCTAGCTTTCTCATTAGGAAGAATCAAATTGAATTGAAGCAAAAAAAAAGATTGGAGCATGTAGAATGAATGAATGAATGAAACAGACAGACAGACAGATAGAGAGAATGGATATGAATACCTAATGATTTGGAAACAAAAAAAACTGAATCTTTTAATCATCATCATCATCAGAAACAACGAAAAAAAACCATATGACATTTGAAAAAAAACAAGAAAATATCGGTAAAAATGTAAATTATTCTTCTTCTCCGTGTTTCGCGTTTTTTTGTTTCTGATCACTTCCAAAACACACATGTGTAACGTTGTACATGAAAGGAATCACACACACACACACACACAAACAGGAAATTACCCGAAAACATTTCTAACGAAGCAAAAAAAGAATGTTTTCCGTTCGAATTTTTCTGGGAAACTTTTTATTTTTGCTCGGTTGTTGTTCGAAAAAGTGATTCCTTTCGCATCATAATAAATCATTTTTTTCTTCTTCATTCGATTTTTCAGACACGTTTCATGTCGGAAAATTATCATCAACAGCAGCAGCAGAAAATGTTTGTGTCAATATTTGGATGTTGAAAAAAAAAATCCAAAAACAAGCAATTTCCAACCAATCAACACAAAACACACGATAGAAAAGGTAAACAAACATGAAACGACATGAAAAAATGATGATTATTAATTGATTGATTCAATTTAGGATTTCATAATCATCGATGTTTCACTTGAAACATCGATGACATTGATGATCGTGTTTCGTTTGGTTGTTTTGTGGATTGGTTAACGCCATTAAACTCACTCGTTCACTCGCTCACTGACTGACCATTAATCCTTAATGGATGCTCATCATCATTTGGCTTGATGTTTTTGTTTTTTGTTGTTGTTGTTGTTGTTGTTATATCACCTTCATTTATTTATTTCGCTCAAAAACAAACAAGCAAAAAAAGTATCAAAAAAACTCGAAACAACAACAAAAAAACATTTGAAAAAAAAATCAACAACATCTGCTTCCATCATCCGATTATTCTATGTGGAATAATAATGATATTCGTGGCTTGCTGTTGTTGTTTTAGTTGTTTAAAATTATTTTTTTTTTTTACATCATGAAAGGTCGTTATCGTGTCTTCTTTCCCCTCCTCTCTCCTCCGGTTTGATTTGATTATTTTGTTTCCAACCATCCAACCATCCAACCATCCAGGCAATCATAACAGGCAAATGTTTTGACCAATTCATTCTGCCATTGACAATCATTATAGGGAAAAAGAAGAGAAAAATTTCCCCTTACTGCTGTTACCTTGTGTGTTTTCCATAATCATCCATTATACGGAATAATTTATACCAACACACTCCAATATTAACCGAATAACCGAATTTTTTTGGTTTTTTCCAAGTGATGTTTTTTTGTTTGTTCTCAGTTTCAGCATTAATAATTAAATTTTAATGCATTTTTTCTCCTCTCAGTGAAATCTATTTTCTTTTTCCTTTTTTTCACACATCTTTTTTGTTTTTTGTTTTTGCAAGTTTCGCTCAAGAAACACATCTCTTTCCCATGTGACAAAGCCATACACTTTGATATTTTTTTTTCATTTTCGTGGTCGGAATGAATGAATGAATGAAAAAAAACACTGCTCCAAATGGAAATTAATTTGAAAAAATTAAAAAAAAAATTTCTTTGGAAAAAAATCCAAAGTTTTTTTTTTTTTTGGATTCAAGCCAAAAGACACCCGAACACATCAATGTTTTTAATTGGAAAATGGAAACACATTTTGCTTTGCTTTTGTCATTCTATCCAACCATCCACATCCATCCACATCCAACCAACCAACCAATCAGATCATTAATCTTTGCAGAATATATCGAGTAGCAACCAAAAAAAAATACACCTCATGTACACTGATTTGATTGGAAATAGTCATTATTAAACGAAAAAACAATGAAAATGAATTTTTTTTTCGTTTCGCTTCTTCGTTTTTTTATTAATTATTATTATTATAGATTTTCGATGGCAGCTTGAAAAACAAAACAAAAAAATTACAATAAAGGAATGAATCAAGACAAATTACACATAATGTACAATGAATGAATGAAAAACGGTTTTTTTCTTTACCATTCAAATCGTTGATATGAATCGTTAAATGATATGAATGTTTGTTTGTTTGTGTGCTTATCAATCATGCAAAATTCAAAATTCAAAAACAACAAAACAGAAAAAATTTACATCAAATTCAATGAATGAATGAAACAATGGATAATACTATTTTTTTTTCGAAGGGAATGCAAAAAGGGTTAAAAATAGAAAAATAACAATCAATCGAATCGAATACTCTGATAATGTGTGTGTTTGATATGAACAAATTTTTTTTTGTTTGTTTCAGTGGATATCAGTGGTTAATTTTTGGTAGGTAGATTTTTGTTTGGCTTGGTGCAATAATGTTGATTAAATTGAATAAATTTTATTGCTCTAAAACAAGAAAAGAAAACTTAATTTTGAAAAAAATCCAATTTGAAAGGAAAAAAACAGATAACAGGGTGTTTGTTTGTTGCGTGTATTGTAACGAACGAACGAACGAACGAATGTTTCAGCAGCAGCAGAAGTTTTTTTTGGGAATTAAACCAATATATGTGTGTGACATCAACGATTCTTTCTCAAACACACACTTATTGGATCCAAGTCGGTTTTCAAAAAAAAGTTTTTTTTTCACATTTTCAAACACACATAGCACACACAAATCCTTTGATTATTATTTTTTGTTCCCATCGGGGTTAAATGTGAAAATGTGTGAAATAACGTTTTTCAACCGGTTTCGACGAAATACAGATATTCTTTTTTTTTCGGAGCTGACAAATTTTAATAGTAGTGTGTCGGTGTTGTTGAATTGAAAATTTAATGATATAGTTGCCGCTGCTGCTGCTGCTTGATTGAAACAAAATCCTCCAGCCAAAAGAATAATTTACTCTTTTTTTTCTGGTGCATTTTTTATTTTTCGCTGATGATGATGATGGTATTGCACCCAACCATCGATCCATCAAATCGATGAAAATCGATACAATCGCCCATCCCATCCCAATTTATTTAATAATATATGCATGAACATTTTTATCTGGCATTGGTTCTAAATGATGCATTGGAAATACTTGTATAAAATCATTTTGAAATTCAGCTTCAGCTGAACCCATTGGTGGTGGACTTGATGAACCCATTTGATGATGTTGATGTCGATGTTGATGTCGATGTTGACCTTGACCACCTTGACCTGGTCCAATTTGATTTGAATTCATTTCTTGTGATGTTAAACTAGTTATTGTTGATTGATTATATGGTTGTCTTAATCGTTGATAACGTACAATTAAAACAAACGTTCCGATCAATATCACTAATACCAATATGGTAATCATAATAAATGTTATCATCCATGATGATGAATGATGATAACGATCATTATCTGGATCACATATTGGTCTTAAACGATAATTTTGTCCATCAATTATCACTGTTGTTTCATCATATTTAAGCTCATGTCCAACAATACATTTACATAAATGTATTGTACGATTAATACCATTAGCAATTGTTTCCATTGTTAATTGACATTCACTATAATCAACTAAACATTGCATATCACTTATACAACGTTCATCAATTTGTGCATAATGTAAACAGGTCATTGCTAAATGTGTTATATATGAACGATTTACAAAACTATCAACTTGTATAAAATTTTGTTTACATTGACATTTTTTACTAATCACATTACATTGTGTATTATCAAATGGACAATCATTTTGTGGTGAACATGGTGCATGATATAATGCTTGTTGTTGACTACGACGATATGATGATGTTCCAATACTATTACGATGTTGTTCACTACTACCGTTAGTTAATTGTATGGCCATTATCATCATTATCATTAATAATGATATTAACGTTCGTTTATCGTTTGATATGTTGTCACCACCACCACCACCACCACCAACACCACCACTACCAACACCAACACCACTGCCACCAATCATTTTATGATGATTTTTATTGATATGCAAAAAATTTCCATTTAAAATTGTTGATCATCTTTTACACATAATGATTATTGAATTATCATCATTGTTTGATACAAGCGATAAGATTGTTGCCATTCTTATTATTCAATATTTCACACTGAATGATGATGATCATGCAATGTCGACAAACAAAAAAACACACTAATTGGACAATTTACCCTGGAACAAATTTGCTTTTTTTTTTTTTGTTTGGTTGATAATTTTCAAATGATCATTGGTTCATTCAAGTGAATAAAATTATTGTGCCGAATCAATTTTTTTTCTATGTTTTTTTTAAAGATTCAAAAAAAAAAAGCAAACAATGTTGATCATCAACGATGAATGGATGGATTCTGAATGAATGAAATGAATTCTTTCCATATAGCTTTTTATATGACCATTTTCTGTCTCTCTCTCTCTCTCTCGCTTTTTGGCGCGCGCCATCCAAATCAACGATTCCATAGGATTCCATTACATTGAACATTGGCGGGTTTCTTCGCTTTCGTTCGTTGTTCGTTCAAAAAAAAAAAAAACATCTCTCATCATCATCGTTTATCGTCTAAATATAGAAACAATAGGCCAGGAAAGAAGAAAAAGTAAAAAAAAAACACATTGATTATGATCACCATCAACTATCGAAATCATATATTGAAAGTAGAAGCATATATACCAAGCAAATATACCAAAAAAAAAAAAAAAAAATTCTTCAGGCGTCATTTTGTAAAAACGATTCTGTCTCATACACATACACAACATTTGACTGCTACTTGCAAATTCTNAACTATCGAAAACATATATTGAAAGTAGAAGCATATATACCAAGCAAAAATACCAAAAAAAAAAAAAAAAAATTCTTCAGGCGTCATTTTGTGAAAACGATTCTGTCTCATACACATACACAACATTTGACTGCTACTTGCAAATTCTCCAAGCAAAAAAAAAAAATACCCTAGACACACACACACATTTAGAAAGAGAAGCGAAAAACTTTTTTTTACCCAGCCAACCTATCCATATCCTATTTTTTTCAGTTTTCAGTTTTTTGCCAGCCAGCCAGATTTTTCATATTATATTTTACAACAACCACCGCCGCCACTTATTTCAATGAGGATCATAATACAAAACAACAATAACGACGACGACAACGACATGATGAAGAAAAAAAAATATGACAAAAGAAAACTGAAAATCATTTTCTTTTCATCATCATTTTTTTTCCATTGTAAATCGAAATTGTTGTTGTTGTTGTCGTCGATGATGTTACATAAAAGTTATGTGATTTTGCGCGTCTTCCCCCCTCTCTCTTCCTCCCTAACAAAAAAAAAAAATAATATCACTTTTTTGTTGTTAGGTGGGTAGAGGGGGGAAAGCAGAAGATGATGATAGGCCTAGGCTATCGACTTTAACAAGCAAATGAAAGATAACAATACCCGAAGAGAGAGAGAGAGTAAAGAATTCGTTCGTTTGCATCTCATTTTTGATGATGATGATAATAACAAGAATAAACAACCGAACCAAACAAACAACTTAAAAAGTCTTCAACCACACACAAACACATACAAACATACAGAAAAAAAACGTCAGAAACAGCAATTCAAGCAAAATAATTGCATCCAAAATGGAGAGAAAAGAAAAGAAAACGTTCATAATTCAATGATTTGCCCACTGAAATGGTAGCTTTCCTGTCTTAATTATGGATTTTTGTTTTTTGTTTTTACTTTCCTTTTCTGTTGTTGTTGTTGAATTACACAGACAGGTATCGTCGATTGTCGTTTTATTATTATTATTATTTATTGATTGCCAAAAAAAAAATAGTTTTTTTTTTTGGTTGAAAATAATCATTATCCCTTGGAGAAATTACAGTAGTAGATAATTTTCCAAGCTAAATAAATGATGGATGCGAAAATGAAAAGTTTTTTTTCCAAAAATAAAAAAAAAAAAACTTTATAATCTTTTTGTTTGTTTTGCCGACAAGATTTATGAAAAATAAATTTAAAAAAATTTTTTCAAAAAAAAAACAATTTCCAAGGTTATCGAACGATGACACATCATGATGATGAAAAACTTGAAACAAAATTAGGATAAGGATGCTCGACTCAACAAAAAAAAACACTATATGGATCCAAACTGATAACACGATTAAAATAGGTTATATAGTGATGATGATGATGATGATGATTGAATCAGTGTTTTCTCTATTTTGGCTCATTCAAAAAAGATAATTCTTTTCACTTGATTTAGTCGATTAGAGAAGAAGTGAAAGAAAGAAAAGAAAAGAATTGTTATGTGAAATTGATCTCAACGAGAGAGAGAGAGAGAGAATCTCTCCTAATCAAATTCCATTCATTTCATTCAATTTTCTTGAAGACGATGAGAGAAGAGGATTTTTTCTTCTCAATTCACAAACAAAGCATGATGATGATGATGGCAGATTGATTTTTTATGATGTGAAGAAAAGAACCCGATTTTCTTTTTCCCCGTATTCGGCGGTTTTTTCGTTTGCTTATCATAACAAACAAATAAAACATCAATCTTTGAAGAAAAACAAAGTAAAGTGAGTTTTTTTACTTTTTTCATCAAATCTCTCTGTATAATGATTATTGTGATTTTTCAATGAGCCAGCCAAACTTTTTTTCCATTCGAATTTCCATTGAAATTTTTTTTTATCCGATTGATTTTTTTTGGACAGCCGTGAAATTGGCCAGAAAAATAATATTTTCCCTGCTTGTTTGTTTGATTGGAAAAAATTGATATTTTTTTTTCATTACAACCAGTGATCGATATGGTATATAATTGTTTTTTTTTTTCGTTTGTTTGGTATCCAACCAACCACCAATGACAGTCAATAATAATTATATGGTTTTCTTTTTCTCTATTGCGATATGGATATAGTGAGTGAGAGTTCGAATAAACCATTTTTTTGGGAAAAGGAAAAAAATATCAATTTGAAACGAAAATCAATCAACAAATAAGCGACAATATCTAAGCGACAACCACCAACCACCAACGACAAAACGAATATTTGCAAAAATATTTACTTTTTTTTTACTTACTTAAAAAGACGAGAAAAAGAGAGACATCGTTCAAACCGAGAAAGAAAAATGTAAACAAACAAACATTTCATTTTTAGGAAGAATGTTATTTGCCTTTAAGGGATATTCCTCTTTCAACCAAAAAAAGAGAAAAACCGGAAACTTAACCGAATAAAAACACACAGTTTCTTCGTGCATGCGTTTTGTTTGGCAGTTTTGTTTCAACCAACGAAATGAAAATGAAAACAAAAAAAAAAACAAAATTCCGATTCTTACCATCATCATCATCATCGAAATGTTTCGGAGAAATGAAAAAAAAATCCGATCCATTATTATCGTTGTTGTTTGAGTTTTTTTTTTATTATTGTTTCCATTATTGTCGATGATGATGGTGGTCCGGCTTTCCCCGAAAACAAAAAAAAAACCATTTTCTGCACACCAGTATTTCATTTCATTTCATGATCCAAACATTTCGGTATTTCACATTTTTTTTGGTGTTTCGATAGGCAAATGAAAACCGACATTATTCATGATTAGCAATAAAAGATTTTCAACCAAAAAAAAAAGAAAAAAAAAGTTATTACCCAATGATTCTCATTGAACAAAAGCACCATTAACAGGGGTAAGGATCATGTTATTTCACCCAGAAAAATAGAAAAAAGTAATAATAATAAGCATCTTAGTGAGAAAAAGATACCAACATTTTTTCTTTTTTGGATTGTTATTGTTGGCTATAAATTTTTTTTTCTTTTCTTTCGTTCGTTTTTCTTTTCTTCGAATGTCGAGAGAATGAAAGATAAAGATAAGGAAAAAGAAAAAAGGAGCACATGGACCAACCTGAATACCGGACTTTCATTCATTCATTCAGTTTAATGATAGCGGGAATTGTTTGAAAATGGGACCAACATTCTTCAATTTGGCCACCAAAATGGCCACCACAACAACATCATTGAGAGAGTATAAAGATCATTTATCAATTGTTCATTTGTTCAAAAGATTTTTTTTTCTTATTTTCACAATTCAAAATGATAAGATTTTGATTAAGTGGAATAACGCACACACACACACACCTCGCTATATTTACCTGGAAGAAAATTTTTTTTTTATACGAATTTCGAATGTTTAACACATGAGTGCTCGCGTGGGGTATATTTCTACCCCAGATTATACAAAAAAATTTTCTAAGTTCGAAATCGCTTAATGTTAAATCAATGGTGGGGTGAAAAAATACCCCACGCGAGCACTGGCGTTAGGATTTGATGCGCGAGCACTGATGTGTTAATACACTGAGCTGCCATCTAGTTTTTGCAGAAAATGAGCAATTTTTTTTTTTTGATAATAAGACGAACGAAACTATCGATATATCGATACACAAAATTTTCGAATTCAAATAAAACATCTTTATTCTATCGATAATGTTATTCAATTGTTTTTACTTTTTTTTGTTTTTTGTTGTTGTCGATATTTTTGAAAATGTTTTCGTTTTTGTTTTGTTGTTTTTTTCGTTTCCATGTTTTGTTTTGGATTTGCAATCATTTTCCTAAAATAATTAGATTTTTTTAAAAAAATTGTTTAAAAAACAAATCAAAAAACAAGAAAAAAGAAGAAAAATTTACTTTTGAAGATGTTGTGGAATATCGGCAGCAAATCCAGATTGACGCATAACATTCAAAATTGAAAGTAAATTTTTTCGATCATTTTTCAATGTATAAAAAGTAATGGCCATACCTGAACGACCAGCACGTCCAGTTCGACCAACATGATGAATATAAGCAACCAGTGAACTAGGTAAATCATAATTAATAACTAAATTAACAGCTTTAAAATCAATTCCACGGCCCATTAATTCGGTACAAATTAAAAATAGAATTTTTCCTTCACGAAACGATCGAACAATTTGATCACGAATTTCTTGTTTTCTATCCGAATGTATTGTATCGATTGATATGTTCATTGTATCTTCAAGTTCACGTTGTAGAAAATTTGCTTTACGTACAGTATTAACAAAAATTAATACAGGTGTTTGACAACCGTTTGCAATTAATTCTTTTAATGCAAATAATTTTCCCGATTCATTACCGGTAAATATTAATTTTTGTTCAATCGATTCAACAACTTTATTTCGTTGACCAATAATAATCGTAATAATATTATTTAGATTTAATTTACACCAATCATATAAATATTGATTAAATGTTGCACTAAATAATGCTAATTTTACTAATGATGATCGTTCAAAACAAATATTAAATATTGTTGATAATTGTTTCATAAATGTTGATTGAAATAATCGATCATATTCATCGATAATAAGCCATTCAAGATTATCAATATTGATTGTTGTATCGATTGTTTTCAGTGATAACAGATATTCTAATCGTTTAGGTGTCGTAATCAATATATCATATTTTAATTTGGATTTTGAATTAAATTTTTTCGATGCTAAATTAACATTTTTAATCATATGAATGCGTAGACCTGAACCTTCGGATATCCATAATGATTCACGATGAATTTGTTTAACTAATTCACGTGTTGGTGCTAGGATGATTGCACGAAAACCACAGGATTTTGGTCGTTCTAATTGTATAATTATTGGCAAAAGAAATGCTAATGTTTTACCCGAACCAGTTGGTGCACTTGCAATTAATTGTTGTCGATCCAACATTAATGGAATGGTTTGCATTTGTATAGGTGTAGGTTGATGATAATTACCTTTTCGAAGATTTTCTCGTAAATAATTTACATTAATTTCATCAAATGTTTTGATTGGTGATTTAATCTGATCGATTCCATCGACCATAATATCATGTTTGGTACGAAATTCTTCATCATTCATCGATTGATTTTCGTTGTTGATTCTTGTTTCATTATCATCATCATTGGATTTTAATTGTTTAGATTTGTTTGTTTGAAAACGATTTGGTTTTGAATCGAATCGTGCACCTTTTGTCAACAATCTAAAAGCATCCATCGTTGAAAAAAAATTGGTGATTTTGGAATCGATTGGAAAAAATTCTGCATGCCTGAATTGAGTCACGTGTGTTTGCACAGGCGCACTGCAAAAAACTCAACTCTGAATAGCAACAATATTTACGCGCGCGATCACACAAACAAACAAATCAAACAAATCAACTCGACGTGCAAAAACAACAAAGTTTTTTTTGAAAAGGAAGAAAAAAATTTCACATCAAAAAAAAAAATGGACAACAATCTGGAAACACCGAAACAAGTTTATAGTAAATTTCTTGAAATTATTGCCAATGAAAATGAAAGTCCGGAATTATTGGAATATGAAGAAACAATTGTTGATTGTATGATTGAACAAATTGAACATATGGAAAATAATATTTCCAGATTGAAAAATCGTTTAGAAACATTTTGTATTGAACAACATCGAACCGAAATTGATCGTTTACAATATACGGTTAATGTTTATCTACGTACACGTATCCGAAAAATTGAACAAAATTGTTCATCAATGATTAAAATATTAAAAACCGATCAACAACGTGCACAAAAATTAATGTCAGCCGGTGAAATAAAATATTTGGATAGTTATTTTATGAATATTGAAAATTATTTGTCCGAATCAATTATGGGCCGGTTAGATATTCCAATCAAAGATGCATCACATACATTTAGTTTATTAGAATTACCGAATGATGAACGTGAATTGTTTGATAATACATATGTATTTGTACGGGCATTGAAAAAAACTGATATTCTTATTACTAATGGTGTGGATGGTGAACAAGAAACAATAACTTTGGAGCCGAATTCAATTCATTTTTTACCATATTCATCTGTTCGTCATTTTATACTTAATACTGCTAATCAAAATAATGTTGTTCTAATGTAATTTGATTTGTAATTTTGATTCTGATTAAATATAAATTTTATTTTTATTTCAAATAATAATAATAATGATTTTTCAATAAAAAATAATTTCTGATTTTGGTTATAAAGTGTAAATAATTTTTTTTGTTTTGTTTTTGTTTTTGTTTCTCTCTCTCTCTTTCTCTATGATTGTTTAATATCATTTGCAATACGATAGCTCATTATTTTATGCCAATCAATTTTTGATCTAGTAACAGGTAATGCACGTCTTAATGCTTTGAATGTTGTATCCGACATATTTTGATAATTTTGTGATATGGCAATTTGATATTCATTTTCAGCTTCTTCAACAATCATTCGAAAATTTTCGGCCATACTTTTTTCATCCTGAAATTTTTTTTTTGAAAAAAAATCAATTAATCAATCAAGATTATACACATTGATAACTTTACCGTAAAACTGATTGATTCTTTAATTTCTTTAAAACTAACAAGTTGTACATTTCCATTTTCATAATAATGAACTTGTGCTTTTATTTTACCAAATATATCGGCTTCCAATCGATTTGGTTTCAATGTTATTATCCATATTGATCTCCATAAACCATTCCTATTTTCAAATGAATGATAAATGAATGAATGGTTTTTGTCAAAACAAAACAAAGTATAATACCAGAAATTGTTTGGCTGAAATTGATGTGCTTCAATACAAGCACTCAATGTAATTTGATCATTATTATTGTTGTTGGTAGTGGCAAATACCGAACTAATACCTTTATAATAATGATCAATACAATAATTTGACCAGATATCATCCAATGTTGAACGCCATGATTCACTTGTTGAATCTGGTTCCCAATTGCTATGATCACTAGTTTCTTCGGTAAGAAAATCATATTTAAATGATTTTCTTGTTTTTGGATCATAAAAACGATTCGAACCAAGATCATTAAATTCGGTAATTAAAGCCTTATTTTAAGATTATTTTCATTTAGGTTAGATATAACAGATATTCATTCAGTTATTCGAATTTACACTTACAAATTCTGTTCCATTCGATAAATTGACGGGCGTCAATTGATCTTTACGATATTGGGCAAAAATGCTAAACAAAAACAAAGAATTCGATTGGATTCGATTAGGAACAACACAAACACAAACATACCTGGAAGCTTTATCTTTCAATAATGTATCATTGTTAAGTAATTGGCGAACATCTTTTGAAATTGAGAAAGAAATTCATTAGGAAATTCAAACATTTATAGATTTACCTTACCATAAAAAACTTCTTGAAATTCACCAGGAGGTGCATGAAGAATAAAATCAGCTACAATACGAAGCTATTTTATAAAAGAAATTGGAAAAAATTTTTAAATTGTTTATTTGAGAAACTGAAAAACTCATACTTTATCCGAATCGGTAAGCGTATTATCATTTTCATTGGCCATATCTTTCTATGGAGAAATAATCTTTCTTTTCACAACAAAATATCAAGGCAAACAAACAAACAAACAAACGAAGAGAGAAAAGAGAAATGTAAAAAAACTTGACAAAAATTTAAAAACTTTTTTCAAAAAATTTCACAGAAATTTCAATTTCTTTGATTTTCACTGAATAATATTCATTCATTCATCATTTTTTCAGAAAAAAAGAAAAGAAAATTCTTATGCAAAATCAGATCCAAAATGAGAAAATCAAAAAAAAAAAAAGGAAAAAAAATCTGATGCGATTTGCTGTGTATAAAATGTAAATAGAGAGAGAGAGAGTTTTGGCTTTTTTTTCCCTTGCATGCTGCTGCTCAGCCCAAATCAGCATCGTGTGTGTGTGTGCTTTGCTATCCCCTCTTAGGTGTGGAGAAAAACAAAAGCTTACTCCTATAAAAAAAAAGGTAATTTAAGAGTGTTTTGTATACATTTTTTTTTTATTATTTTTTTTTGTATTTTGTAAGCCGGATCTGTCACCAGGAACTAATCATCCGTTTTTTTTAAAAATAAAATAAATTTAGAAAAAAAAATTGCTGATAATTTTTTTGGTTTGCAAATAAAAATTCGTGAATCACTTGCATCATATAAACTTGGTATTCGTTAAAGAATTCTATATTGTTGTTGATGATGCTTTAAAACAAAATATAATTATTTTGAGTCCTGAGTTTGTTATTGTTATCAAACAACAGCCAAAAATTTTGTTTCCATTTTTAATTAAACAAACCAGAAAAAACCATAACGCAATCATCAATTCTTTGCCTTGATTTTTTTCCAACAAAAATCATAAGAAAAAATGGGTAAAAATTCTGATTCCTGGTCGAAAGAAAGGTTAGTTTAATCTGTGTTTGAGCAAATATATCCATTGAATAATTGATTTGTTCTGTTTTTCTGTTTTCTCATTCAATCACCCAAAAATCAAAGTTATCGTGAACGTGATAATAATAAACAACGTGGTTATAACAGCCATCATCATCATCATCGATCATATTCAAACAGCCGACGGGTATGATTGTTGTTGTTGTTGACACAGAGAAATAAAAAAAAATAAGAAATTGAAATTCCAAAATTTTCTTTAATAATAATCCAAATAATTCTATCCATATTCTCAATTATTTCAGTCTTCGGAACATTATCATTATAGAAATGATAATGACGACAATTATGATGATGATTCTTATCATTCCAATACGAATTATGATGAAAATGATGTTGATGATGAACAACAACAACAGCAAGGATATGTTGCAGAAAACAATAATAATAGAAAATATCGACAACAAAATGATGATTTACAAGATGATCAACAACAATATCGTCATCATCATCATCGATCACATAAAAAACATCATCGTGATCGTGATCGTCGATCAAGAAGCCGTAGTAATGAACGAATTGATAATTCTTATCATAATAATCGATATCAACAACAACATCAGGAATCGGATGAACGATATCAATATGATGATCAACAACGTTCCTATTATCATCAACAACAACGTGAACCAAGAAGAGAAGAAAAACCAAATAATACTTTAATGATTCGTAATCTTCCATTACATATTAGTGATAAAGATGTAAGTGATTATTGTGAAAGTAACTGATATTATTCCCCAAAAAATAATAATAATATTCCCTTTTAAAAATAGATATTGGCAGAAATTAATCAATTTGGTCTATATCCAAAAGATGTACGACTTATGAGAAATAAAGAAACAGGTAAAATTTGTTTGTTTTTCTTTCAATCAGATAATACAAAAAAACATTTATTTTTCTTTCTTTTCCAGGTCAATCACGTGGATTTGCTTTTATAGAATTTATTTCCATTGAACAGGCAACTCAATTAAAAGAATTTACTCAGGTAATTCCATATCAATGAATGTTGTTGAAAATATTCATATTTTATAATAATTTTTGTGATGAAACAAAAAAAAAATAGGATTGCCTAACATTTGGTGGTGAATATGAATGTACATTACATTATAGTTTTCCAAAAGATAATATAATTCCAATAGATAAAAATGTATTGAAAAGTGATTGGAGTTGTCCAAAGGTTTGTTTAATCTTGATTTTTTTGTTTGTGGGGAAAAGAAAACCTTAAAACTAATCTTTTTTTTTAAAATTGTATAGTGTGGAATCAACAATTTTAAACGTCGTGATGAATGTTTTAAATGTGGAACAAGTAAAGATGAAACACCAATTAACGAAGACTACAATAATAATAATGACAACAATGTAACCGTCAGGCAACCAACCAATGGTATATTGATTAGACAAAAAATTTTTAACTCTTTTTTTAACATACACACACTTCTCAAATACACACAATATACCAAATGAATGATTTGTGTTTGAAAAACAAAAATGATTTTACTAAAAAAAAATTTTCTGTTTAAATTATCTTCAATATAAAACAATAATGAAGTATTATTGATTGGAAATCTATCATCGAATACAACTGAAGAAACTGTATTGGCTACAATTGGATCATTAACATCATTACCAATCAAATCGATTCGTATGATAACAATGGCAAATCAAAATCTATTATCATTACCATTACCAATAACAACCAATACATGTATGGTAGAATTACATAGTGTTTATGAATCAACCGAATTGTTTAATATTCTATCAACATTAAACGATGGTTTAACTATTGATAATAATTTGATAACCATTTCATATGGTAAACGATTAAATGATCAATCAACATCATCATCATTAATATCAACAAATCAATCAATGGCATTACAAAATGCAGCCGTTGCTGCATTAGCTGCTGCACAATGGAAAAATCTTGATGATTCATCATCATCAACCAGTAATACGGCTGTTTCAAAAAAAACTTCAACAAACAATCTTGGCAGTGTTACAGTGAATGGTGTTAAATATACTAAATATAATCCACCTGATTATAATAGTTTTCAATATGATCATAATTCTGGATTTTATTATGATTCTACAACTGGATTTCATTATGATTCAAATTCACAATATTTTTATAATTCTGTAAGTCCATATTTAAATTATTAATAATGATGATTATGAGATAATTATTATCATTTTTTTCTCCCTTAGCAAAATCAAAAATACATGTATTATGATAATACTAATCAGATATACATTACTGTGGATAGTAATGGACAAGCAACTAATGAAACGACAACAACATCGACAACAACAACAACCGTAGATAACAATCCTCAACAACAACAACAGCAGCAGCAAACAAAAACAATAACCGATGAAAAAGATAATAAAGCTAAAATGGCTAAAAAAATTGCCAAAGATATGGAAAAATGGGCAAAAACATTGGCATTGAATAATAATAGTCAACGTAAAGAATCGGTAACAAACAAATCACATACAACAACAACAACAACAACGACGGACGCTGATGCAGAATCATCATCTGAATGTCCACCACAATCATCATCATCGAATATTAGTTATCGTATTCTTTCGGAAAAACAACAACAACAACAATTATCCAATTCGCTTAACAATGATAATTCTACAATGGAAACGATAAAAGAAACAATAGATCCATTCGAAATAATCAAAACGGAAGAGGAAAAATTAATTGATCATGATCGTCTTGCATGTATGCTATGTAAACGACAATTCAATAGCCGAGAATTATTATCAAAACATCAACAACTTTCAAGTCTACATAAAGTATTCATGCCCGAATCAAATCATCATTCTGTTCAATTTTTATTTATTCAAGAAAATATTTTTCTCATTTCCTTTCCCTATATATATTTATAGACCAATCTTTCTGTGTTAAGACAAACATTGCTGAATGAAGAACAATTGGAACATGTTGAACAAGTGGAAAGAGAAGTATGTGTTTGGAGTTTGTTTCTGATACAACTTTTGGATTTTATTTTTGTGTTTCCTTTTTTTTCCTATCTTTTTTCACTAGATGAACTATAGAGATCGAGCAAAAGAACGTAGAGATAAATATGGTATTGATGATACACCAGAATTTTCGAAACGAAAATTTGAAATGGAAAAACAAGAAAAATCAAGAGAACAACGAACACCGCCACCACCGATTTCCGATGATAATATTGGTAGCCGAATGCTTAAAGCTATGGGCTGGGTTCGTACACATACACACACACACAGACTGCATTTGTTTTTTGTTTTTTCAATCACAGAATTTGACTGAATTTTTTTTCATTCACTCTTGCTATATATATAGACCGAAGGAACCGGTTTAGGAAAATCTAATCAAGGAATGTCAGGTATTATTGAAGTGGAACGAAGAAAATCTGGTCTTGGTCTTGGTAATCAGAATGCAACATTTTCAAGTATGTTTCTGATTTTTTTTTAAATTATTGATTGATTAATGAATATGAATAACTAATTAACTATTAAATCAATCAATCAATCAATCATAGGAGAATCATATAAAGAAGCTGTTCGTCGTACAGCATTACAACGATTCAAAGAGATGAATGATTCTAATTAAAAAAAAACAACAATAAATAATTAGCGATGGCGAAAAAATGGGGGGTGGAAAAAAGCAATTCGTGATCAACTTCATTATAATTTTTCTACACACACCATTATCCCCTCTCTTTCCCCTTTTACCACCAAAAAAAAAAATCATTCACGATCTTCAAAATTCAATTCAATGAATCAATTTGTAATTGTTCTGTCAACACACATAAACACTACATATCTTTTTTTCTCTCAATAAAGAATTTTTTTTCACAATGATGACAAAATCCCTTCCTTTTTGGTAAAATAGAAAAAAAAACCGGATCGATGTTGTTGTTTTTCGTCGAACAATGAATTGAATTTGTCATTTCATTCATTGACAACAACCAACTAACTGACAAAAAAAAAAAGACAAAAGGTCATTGCTGTGACAGGTGATGATGGTTGTTGATGACCTGTTTGATGGTGGTTGTTTCGTTTTTTTTTTTTTTTTTTTGATGAATAATCGGTCATTCGATGATTTGAATATTGAATGTCCATTCATTAATAACAACAAGTGGTGGTGGTACCGTTATATATGAATAGACTTGTGGAAATTGCAAAAAAAAAAAAAATTCGAACATATTCAAAAACATTCGAAATTCATTTATGAGTTAGGTTAGGTTGATGATCATGACTATGACTATGATTCATAGTCGAGTGAGGTTAGGTTAATGACTATGCCTATGACTATGACTTATAGTCGAGTGAGGTTAGGTTGATGACTATGCCTATGATTTATGGTTGAGTTAGGTTAGGTTGATGACTATGACTGATAACTTACTGATAGCTTAGCAGTGTGTATTTCCTTTTTCTTTAAAGCCAAATTTAAGGCGATAAATTCAAATTTTTTTAAGCGAAAAAAAACACGTTTTACTAACACCATGCTTTTTTGATTCGTTTCGTTTAACGATATATGATTGTTGTCCAACAATATTATTTCTTCGACAACGACGATTATTATTATTATTTAATTGTCATTCGTTTTTTTTTCATCGTCATCATTATCCATTATAATCATCATCATCATCATCATCATCATTAGACAATTGTGCCCGAAACACAACAACAACAACGAATGTTTTGGGTTGTCCATGGTTGGCTGCTGTTTTTTGTTTCGATGGTCATATCTTGAAATGAAATTTAATGGTAATGAAAAAATTCTGCCACTACTACCATTGAAGCATTTTGATTTCTTTTTTTTTTTGTTTGTTTCGAAACAACGACAACGACAACGACATCAATATTTTTTGATACATCCAGGTAGACAAAAATTCAATTCATTTCATTTCAATCATTCTCAAATTACGTTGCTGCTTCTCCGGCAGAAAATATATACAATCATCATCACAATGATACCCTCTCTCTCATCATCATCAAACAACAATGACTATTTCTCGTTTTTATTTTGTCAACTTTTTTTTTCGGAAAAAAAAAGAAGAATCAGGTATGAGGATAACCAAAGATAAATATTCAATGGGGAGAGAGAGAGAGATTGAGTGAGAAAAAGGACATTGATCATAATGATGAAAAAAAATGAAAAATTTTTTCTTCTTCTTCTTTTTAATAAACACGCGCCAGCCACTAACCTTATCACATTTCTGGTGGTGGTGGTGGGGTTTGTTTTTGTTTTCTGGTTATTCTCAGGCTTTATCCAGATTGAATATCTTTGTGGAGAAAAGGCTCCATTTTTTTTTTATTAACCCCCAAAGATCTGCTGTTTTGTTTTCTGTGATCATCACAGTCTTTGTCGTCATTTTTTTTGATGATGGATTTTTTTTTTGTCTTTTCCTATCCTGTTTCGTTTCAATATCAACCAACACCGACATTGTTGTTTTCTTCATTCTCTCTTTCATTCATTCATTCATTCATTCATTTTTTTTCAAATTCCATTTTCATTGTCATCAAGAATTTCTTTCTTTTTTTTTTGCGGCAGGGATGTTGAGAATGGTGGTGGTGGTGGGTCTTGATGATGATGATAATAGCATACAGCAAGTATATAGAGGAGAAAGAGAGGGGACATTTTACAAACATCAAAATGATATAGCCAGTCAACCATTTGTGTATGTATACAGCTGCCATATGTGTGTTTGTATTCAGTGTGTGTATGATAAAATTATACCTGGCCAGGTAATCATCATCATCATCATTATCATCCATCCATTCATTCATTGTGTTTTTTGTTTGTTGTTCATTTTATATACCACCACTACCATTATTATTATCATCAAAAAAAAAATGACTATAATGACAAATGATGATGATGATGATGATGAACTGTTTGGTAACAGCAGCAGCAGCAGCAGCAGTGGTGGTAAATAGACATAGACATAGAGAGAGAGAGAAACAATACCTTTATTTTTTTTTGATTTTCAAATACAACTAGGTTGCGCGCGTGCACTTTGTTTTTTTTTCGTTTCGTTTTGAAATGAAATGAAATGAAAAAAAAAACATTATTTTGTTGTTTGGTGGATTGAATGGTCGAGATCATTATGATCATCATCATTATCATTGTCGGTTGGTTGGTTGGTTGGTTGGTTTGGTTTGGTTGATATAGACAAATAAATGGCAAGATTTTTTCGTTTGTTTGTTTCAGTTGTTTTTGTTGTTTTGCTATGCCGGCAGAGAAAATGATTTCCGTTTAGTTTTTTTTTTTGATCGACCGAATCCTCATAAAATCAAAATCTTGTTCGAATCAATTTGGATTCACATGTGGTTTCCGCTCTACCAGCAACCATCATTTACACTATCGATCGATACAATCGATTCTCTAGAATAATCATCATCATCACCAACAACAATCATCTTTCATCCATGGATTTTCAATTTAGGTAAGTCATAATCCTGATGAAATTTGTACAGAATCCAGAATTTCTATGAAAAACTAAAACAAAACCAAGTCTTTATCTTTTGGTCGTTGTTAAGATAGAGAAAAAAAATCTGTTTGTTTGTTGTGTTGTGTTGTGTTGTGGTGTATATGATATATGAGAGAGTTTGAACTCAAAAAAAAAACATTTTTTTCGATCCAAAAAAAAACAGAACCAGAAACAAAGTACACTATACACTGGCTCCAATGACAACCAATGGGTTTTTTTTGCCAGGTTGGTTGGTTACTTGTTTTTTTTATTTTATTATTCCAGGTTCCTACCCTATATTTTCCAGGCGATATATAATGATTTGTTTTTGTTTTGTTGCTGTGAATATCAGATAGGTTGCTGTGTTTTTTTTTGGATTCCATACACAGAACCATAGAGAATAAGTTTTTGTGTTGTTTGGTTGATTGTGTGAGACCCATCACTGGTTAAAAAAAAGCACGTTGTTATAGTAATGATGATGATGATGAGGGGGTTATGTATATTGATTAAACACTGAATCAATCGATTTTTTTTCCTGTTTTTTCGTTTGAGGCAAATTTTTCGTTTTTTGTTGCATAAAGAATCCAGGTATGTCATCGATGACAATCAAAATACAAAATACAATCACCGTGTGATAAAACAAAACCAAAATTATGTGATCAGACAAGCCCTAAACATCTATGAGGAAAATAATAAACAACATTACCATTATAATCGTATTACCAGTGATGTTTTTTTTATATACAGGAAAAACATTTTCAACCTTTGTGTTTTTTTTTTTTTTTTTTGGTTATAGTTTTCCTTTTGTAAGTGATTATTGTAAATTCCTTTTTCCACACTGTTTTTTTTTTTGGTTTGTTGAATGACAAAATGTGTGCAGAAAAATCCTTTTTTTTTTGGTGTAATTCTAGCCAAACACTTTATTTTTCTTTTTGGATTCATTTCTTGGGTTCATTAGATTTCCTTTCCAATCAATCGCTCGCTCGCTCCCACACACACACAATGCTTATCGCATCATTAATTTTGTTTGTTTGAATTTTCTCAGTACTTTTTTTTCCACCTTTAATTATCAAAAACTTTTGGAACATTTGCACAAAAATAGTCAATCAAGTTAGGACAACCCTAAATGACAAACGCACACATACATATCATCATCATGATAATCCAGGTCGGGTAATAATAATAATGAGTACATCTAAGGTAAGTAACCAAAGAGAGAGAGAGAGAGAGAGAGAGAGAGAGAGAGAGAGAGGACATTTTACA